CCGTGCGATGGGTGCCACCTGTGCGATCGCCGCCACCCCAATGGCAATTGGATTCATGCCTTCGATTCTGCTAGTCTCACGGACGCACCTATGCAGTATTGTAGCTCCGATTGGTGCCAAACTGAGCGAGAACGCATCGGCTCCAGTTCTCATGGGTGTTCTTTCTACTGCGATATGATCGCCCTCTGCGATAAGTCACACCGAGCGAACCGTTACTATTTGAACAATACCTGTGAGCTGCTGCAACAGACGTGCGAGCGTTCCCATATCGCAGTCGAGCACGTGCAATACACTGAACATTCTCACGTAGAACCCGTAAGACTCGGTAGAGTTGTTCTAAGTGGCGACTAGCAGAGTGGATTGAGATTTTGCTTGTGACGGTGTACGAAGAACGCAGAACGAAGAACGACCGGCTCTCGGCTGAGGTTTATCCATTTCCCTTTCAGCTTTATCTTCGCTGTTGGAAGGATTTAGATCGCGGTATATTTACTGGATCACGGAATATTTCATTTTCAGTTTCTTTCGTGTTCGTTTGTGAGTTCTTGGCATACTTTCGTTTAGGGTTGAGGTTAGGTAAAAGAAGTTGTTGTCGTTCTGCGCGTGGGCTACCACGCTGTAACCCTTGCAGCAGTGGAGTCCAACAGCAAACTGTAAGAGCAATACATGAGGCAACTGATTGCAGGCCACGGAACCTACTCGCGATGTCTCGAACCTCACGGTCGATAGGCTTATAGTGGTGTTATGTTGAAGTCTTCGTAATCCTGTGCATCAACTTCGACCCCTGGTGAAACCGTTATATGTACATTTCGTACCCTCGTTTTTCCTAATCCTGGTCGATCGCTTCAACCTGTGCGTTGATTCCTACGTTTTCGGCAACGGTTGGGTATATGTAGGCTTTTGTCGAATTCAGCGTCAGTTGATTGTCATCGTTGATCCGTGAGTCCAGCCGTAGGTGCACTGATACATTGTACAGAGTGTTGGGGGCACGAGCTTGCAGTTCTGTTGCATTGTCTGCGCCCTGCCGGGGTCTTCATCGAGACTGACGTTCGTGCTCAAGACATTGTTGCACGTTACGCAATATAGGCAACACGGAGGAGTGATTCGATGGCTCCGGCCCGGTCAAGCTTCGACCGTTGCTGCCACCCCTCCCGGGCTACCCATGGACCCCTCCCGGGCTACCCATGGGGGTATCTGCTATGGGAGTATCTCGTCGTGAGCAAGAGAATAACTGTTCGTGGTGCTGGCCTTCTTGTTCCGCTCATTTTCGCATGGTAGACGTGATTTTCAAGGAGGTGAAGGCGAGGTTCGACGACCTGGACAGCCAGTACTCCTTATCTTGCCCGACGGTGAGAACGGATTGCACGCCTTCGGTTGTAAAGAAGTGCACAATCGATTAGTCGGAGCGATTTTGCCGCATCATCGTGTGTTCCGGTATGATCCGATGGAGGAAAGAAGGCATTAGTTTTTGAGTTAGTCCTTGGACAAACTGTGCCCATGGTGGATCAAACGGGACGAAACCGCTTGCATCGAGCTCTGGCATGTTTCGGTGGTCGTTCGGCGATTCGGGTTGTCGTCAGGTATGGACGTGATTTTTACGCCGCTGCTCGTAACGTGCGGCGATTCATTTCCTAGATCTCGGAGTATCGAGCGACAAAATCACGTTCAGATATAGATTTCATCCTTTGAATGTTCTACAATGTTGATTCCCCTCGAATACCAACCACCTGTGACCCTCCTCGGGCATGGTCGGCCGATGACAGGTGCCGCAATTCGGCTTGTTCTGCGGCTTGTATCTTCATTTGTTTGGTCTTATATGCATTAGACGGAAGATCGGAGGCACAATCTTGATGTTGCCGTGTTCCTTGTTCCTCGCTTACAGCCTTGTCTGCGCAAGTGCACGACACCATCACATTCGAACGGGGATGGCCAATAACGGGAGGAAAAATTCACCTCTATGGCGTCTATCAATATGTCCTTGTTCGGAAAGGGTGCGCTGGAGGTATATGCTGACATCGCCTATTCCACATTGCATCGGCCTGGCCGTCCTGCCTGGCTCAAGGTGTCTCCCCAACGTTCCGAACCAGGGTTGCGGTCCTTCTTCGTCGGGGCACACATTTGTTTTTGCTCTATGGCTTGCAGCTGAGTGTGGCCGTCCTGTGCCTGTCGGCGCGTCATGTTTGTACAAAGCAGGATCCTTCCCAGGAGGAGGGCGAGTTGATTCGAAAGATCGACGACGTGGCCAGGGCTGTGCGTAGCGTGAAGAAGGAAATGAAGGACGGGTTCATCATGATATCGGAAAGGTTGGACAAGGTGCTGGAGAGCACCCAGGAAAGTCTCATGCGCATCAGGAACCTGCAGGCCCCGAACTACCGTTACCCTCGCCTTGTGGTCGTCAAGGAAGTTGGATCTGATGGCACTGCATCGAAGGCTCATGGGAAGAAGAGCGTGCTGAGCAAGCTGCGTCGTTTAGGGAAGAAAGATATGACACTTCACTTCTTGTGCCCGGTCGACATGACAAAGGTACCGTGCGGCTATGGTGGTGAAGGCTATCGATTTCAGGAGACGCGTGGCTGGGTGAAGAAAATATCGCCTGTCCTTCAGGTAGAACAAGGGTTTTGGAAGTAGCCGGTCGGAGTAGGTGACACCGTTGTTTCTGATGGGATTCTACGGTGAGGTTCAACGCGCTATGGCACCCTCTTCTATTGGGGGAGGGTCGTCGCACTCCGAAGGAGCACCTCTCTCCTTGCAACACGGGTTTACATTTCCAAGGCGTGGTATATTGGGACTAGGTTGCTTGGGTCATGCCTTGACATGCGAGTGATATGAGCTATTTGGTGGATTCTTTGTTGTTTTGTTTGTGCGCCCTCTTCCTTTAGGTGGCCGTGGTGACCGCGAGGGTGGCGCTCAACGCAACGACAGGGCTGGACGTGAACATCTCGAATTTCCTGCAGGACGTGAAAGATGGGTTGGTCAATGAGCTAGTCGACCGGACTCTCGACGAGGAGGCGCTGCTCCGTGCTGTTTCGGGTGACGACGACATCGGCGCAGAGTTGCAAAGGGATACGAGGGCCTCGTATGAAGCGCTGAAGAAGTTCATGGACAAGGAACAAGTTGACAGGGTTAAGAACGCCCGGGATGGTGATGGCTACATCGACTTCAGGGACGAGATGAAGCGTGTCACCGACGGGAGGGGCGGGATGGTGTGGGTTCGGAACGACAATGTTCAAAAGTGGTTGGACTCGCATTCGATTGCTGCTCCAACTCGCTAGCCGTCGGTCTTGTTTGGTGCAGCGTATGCACCTGAAACCACCCTCACCGCATTCTATCCCTTTGGCGGACGTTGTTGTACCCAAAGGGTCCAGACTACCGTTGGGTATTACCTTGAGGGGATATTTCGACTTGGGAGAAAGAGCGCATCTCGTTCTGTGGTTTGTCGTTTGTCGGTGCTTGTCCGTCAAGTTCACTCGAAACACCAGGGCTTGGTAGAAGGGGTGGTTGTCCAGTATTTTGAGAATCCACGCATTCCGGTAGCTTATGTACTAGGGCGGGAGCTTTTCGCACAAACGGGAGAGTTCTTGCAGGCTATGGTGGGCACCACACGATGGATTACGAGAACGTTTTTATTCCACAAGTGGTGGTGGTGCAAGCAGGAACGCTACTTGAAGGGTTTCACTGTAAGTAACAATCGGTAGAGCCAAGGGGGGGCACCTGCCTGCTACACCGCGTGTCTGTCCATAGAGAGGGACAGTCGAGCTCAATGGTTGGAGGCCTTGAACGCGTCATTTTCGACATGCTAACCGGACGCCGCTACCTACAACCAATCACTGTGCAAATCACGAAATTTCCTACCCTACACCATGGTCACAGAGACTTACTGACTGTAGGTGCTAGAATACGAAGTGTAAGGGGTGACCTCCTGTCGCAATGGAGCGGCGGTGGTTGATGCCGGGAAGTCGTTTTGTTGCCCTTGTGTGGAATGTTGTTTCCGTCTGTTGTTTTGTCCGCTTTCGTGTGTCTCACACAGAACATGGTGTTCGTTTGGTTTGATTTGTTGTGCCCCCTTGCCAGAACAGGAAACAGGGAAGTCAGCATTATTTCCTGACTGTCCAACCACAATATCGTTCCTGGAAACAATTTCGGCCTCCCAGGTTCCTTCTTATTGGCGATTACGCCGCACCATGTCTTTGATGAACAGCAAGGGTGGACGGAATAGGTTATCCCGCACACTTACCTGAATGAAGTAGAGCGCAGGGCCCATTTTGGGAATATTTGATGTGTTCCCTCTGTTTTTTTGTCAATTTTTATGATCGTACAGCTAGAGTACGGGCCGGAGAAACAAATCGGTCCGAGGGTCAGTTTCCTCTTTCATCGCCACTGGCGAGCACATGTTATCTACATGCGGTAGAGTTTGGTACAGAACCAACACTATCGACGTTTTCTTCCCTATTTTCTTGTTTTTCCAAATGTATTGAGCCTCTGGACGATAACTTACAAAATATTTCGATGTCGACTAACTCTGAGAGTGGTAGACACACAAGATCACTCGGAACGCTTTGGAAAAACAAGGAACGTTAGGTTCTCGCACAGGGTGGCAGTAGGGGCCGCTCTAACCGTACACATCATGCGGCCACACGCCCCTAATGAAATATCAAGAACAAAATTATACCACACCAAATTGAAGTCAAGAGATCTAGAACAATAGGTACGGTCATTCCTATATTACGCATGCTACTGATATCTGATACTACGGAAGGGCACTTTGTGGAGGCCCCCACCGTGGGCGTGGCGGGGCCCGAACAAAACTTGATAAAAGCACGCAAGCTGAGAAGCGCGCCCCGGCAAGGAGTTGAGAGATCTGAGAAGAAGGGCGAGAAGAGATCTGGGTATGTGTATGAACAGTTCGAGAAGAAAAATCCGTCCAAAACAATAAAACTAGCAATAGGGTAGAAGTGAAAGTGGAGATGAAAATGACAAGCACGAGAGAGGGAGGCATAGCCTTGATTGAATTGTGGAACAAAATTCACAAGAATAGAAGGAAATTTTGGACGAGTACAGGGAATCACAAAATGAAGCGGAAATCACATACCCAACAAACGTGAAGAACGAAAATTAAATTGGAAACCAGTTTAGCGAAGGCACGTGGAAAAGATAAGAACATTCCCAGCGAACACGATGATGTGGAGCAACAATGCTCAATCAGATTCATCGACAAAGATAGTCGACGATAGCGTGGATCGACAACTCAAAATGGGGGCAGAAAAATTCAATGGTCCGTGCAGAAAACGATGCAAAACTACAATCAATCGATCGTTTGGGCCAACGGTTGTTAAGCTACAACGGTACGTGGTACCAAAGTACGCTCAACGATCGTTTGGCATGAAGATTCGTAGAACAGCACTCAAGATGGACACAATCAAAAGTACTCAAGAAAAGACAGCCGAAGACACGCGAAAGCAACAGCGATCAAACACCCAAAACATACGCGGGAAAACACCGAAGCGGACACTATGATGCAGAGAGGTGGCCGACTTCAGGGCAAACAAACGAACAAAGGAAGGCAGATAAACGGAAACACCATTCGGTGTCATAGCCGTCGTCGGAGGCGGCGTTATCGGAGTCGGCATAGTCGGAGCCGGCATCGTCGTTGTCGCCGTTGCCGCGGTTGTCGGCATCGTCGTTGTCGGCATCGTCAGTGTCGTCGTCGTCTTCGTCGTTGTCTTCGTTGTCGTCCCCTTCGTCGCCGGGGGCAAAGTCGGGGTCCGGTTTGTCGTCGGGGTAGTCGTCGTTGGTTTCTTCTTCGGGTTCTTCTCCAGAAGAGTCGGCGCGGGAACGGGATGGGGATCGGACCTTGCGGTTTTATGCTTTCGTCGCGCGCCTGAGGGAACCTTTCGTTTTTCGTTGGTGCCAGGGCAGTTGGAAGAAGCGCCGACCCCGGCAGTAGGGCGAGAGGCGAGATCAATCGCTTCTAGGGTGGGCGTCTTGGATAGGCGTTCGATGATGGTGACGTCGTTGGAGAGGGCGACGATGTGGTAGCCCCAACAGTTCTGGTGCCCCCATTTCTTCTTCTCGACAGCGGCGATGAAGGTGGTGCCGAGGATGTAGCTGGCGCGGACGTTCTTGGTCATGGTCGTCGAGATCGATGAGTTCCTCACCGTCACAAAAAAAGCTCCTCTTGAACAGCCTGAGGAAAGGGCAAAGAAGAGAGGTATGAATGATTGGAAAGTTGCAGAGGGTCGAAAATGACCAACAGGTCGTGTCAAGCAAATCGTACTGGTGTGTATGAGTCAGAATGATCGCACAGGCGGCACAAAGTACGGTTAAAAGTACACGGCACCATGAATGCCAAAGTATGTGATGCAAGTACCCGTTCGGTACACCTCGCGTCGCGTTGTGCAAGAACAGGGCGGCGAAGTATATGGAAGGAGTGGAAGAGCAGACGCGATGGAGGGAGTAGAAGTACATGGCGATGTTTAGCTGTTACCTAGTGTGGAACAGGGAGCAAGTTCAATGTTAATGGAAACGAACTTATTTTGGCGTCGAAAATATGGGCCCAAAAAGAAAACATACCTCCGTTCCGATGGAAATAGCGGATGGCAATTGTATCCTGTCCTTCGTGTGCGGTCCGCAATCGACGGTCATGTGCGGTTGGATGGCGGTGAATGGTTTCGGGATCATGTCGTAATCGCGATGGAGACGAGGTGTGATCTTGTTGGTGCAAGCTATGGGAAGCTCGGCACAAGGATTGCGGGTGGAATTGCACTCCGGCGTGCCCAAGCCGCACCTCATGCGAACGACCGGACCGGAAGCCGAGAAATGCACCATGAGCGGGTATACGTTCGCCGGCGCTTGTTGTGCCGAAATGACGTCGAAGGACAAAACCTTGCAAGGGGTCAACATATTCTGGTAGATCGTGGGCGAGAGAAAGATAGAGGTGGCAGGCGGTGGAGGTCGGGAGAAGGAAAAGGTCGAGGTTGCAGCGGGTGGGTGAAAAACACTCGTTCTGCAACACTGCTGTCACGACAACGCTGCACCCTACGGGGGGCAAGACCCTTCCATCAGCGGTAGATGGGAATGTTCCGGCAGACACTCCCATGACTCTCAGGGCCTACGGCAAGACGCACGGGCACACCGACGATCCGTTTTCAACTCGTTCTGCTTTTCCTGTCCTGAGTGTCAGCAATGCTGTGTTCTGCGACGGCATCCGGTGTTCCTGTAGCCGAGAACGAGCCATCGCCTGGCAACGCACCCCTCACGTCGACAGCATAAGCACGAGGGTTGGGTTCCGCTCCAACAAAACCGCCGATAAGAAAAAAACAGTCATTTACCAGGTGTGGAATCAAACCGCCCGAACACGGACGGTGTTGTTCCCAGATCCAGCCGTGCTCCTGTCACCTCATGACGCCGCGACAGTAGTGTACACAGACCCATGATTCTCAACATTGTCAACGAGAGCCAAGGCCACGTTATCAAGGACCACCGGGAGCAACCGCCAGATCTTGTGCCCGGAATTTCGTACCTCCCCCCCCCACGTTGTAAAACAAGCCAATTCACTTCGTGAACTCGGCAACCAGGTTACCGTGGGGTAGTCGTCGTTGGTTTCTTCTTCGGGTTCTTCTCCAGAAGAGTCGGCGCGGGAACGGGATGGGGATCGGACCTTGCGGTTTTATGCTTTCGTCGCGCGCCTGAGGGAACCTTTCGTTTTTCGTTGGTGCCAGGGCAGTTGGAAGAAGCGCCGACCCCGGCAGTAGGGCGAAAGGCGAGATCAATCGCTTCTAGGGTGGGCGTCTTGGATAGGCGTTCGATGATGGTGACGTCGTTGGAGAGGGCGACGATGTGGTAGCCCCAACAGTTCTGGTGCCCCCATTTCTTCTTCTCGACAGCGGCGATGAAGGTGGTGCCGAGGATGTAGCTGGCGCGGACGTTCTTGGTCATGGTCGTCGAGATCGATGAGTTCCTCACCGTCACAAAAAAAGCTCCTCTTGAACAGCCTGAGGAAAGGGCAAAGGAGAAGAGAGATATGAATGATTGGAAAGTTGCAGAGGGTCGAAAATGACCAGCAGGTCGTGTCAAGCAAANTGTCAAGCAAATCGTACTGGTGTGTATGAGTCAGAATGATCGCACAGGCGGCAGAACGTACGGTTAAAAGTACACGGCACCATGAATGCCAAAGTATGTGATGCAAGTACCCGTTCGGTACACCTCGCGTCGCGTTGTGCAAGAACAGGGCGGCGAAGTATATGGAAGGAGTGGAAGAGCAGACGCGATGGAGGGAGTAGAAGTGCATGGCATGTTTAGCTGTTACCTAGTGTGGAACAGGGAGCAAGTTAAATGTTAATGGAAACGAGCTTATGGCGTCGAAAATACGGGCCCAAGCTGAGGTACAAGCTCGCATTGCGCGGGCGTCAAGACGCCGAAAACAGGCGAACAAGATCGACCTCGTACCAGTCAACGCCAATGATATGGGGATGGAGTGTAGACGCATCGTAGAACGCGTTTTCGTTTGAAGTTGACGTCTTGTTTGAGAGTAGATGTGACAGATTTGCGTAGAATAGGGTAAG